TTACGTCACAAAATAAAAGAAGATCGTTACACTAAGCTGCCAGACTTTAATAAATTAGATCGTGTAAATAATAATGCTTTGAAAGCGTGGCTGAAACATGCGAGCTGTGAAGTAACAAGGTCAAGATAATTAATTCGGTATACGCTAAATCACGTAGACTGCGAATAAATTTACGTCTAGATACTATATCACCCGGACGACAGCATTTATTGACTTTTAGCATCTAACACTTTATCTTCTCTGTGGTTTATTGTCTATGGAATTTTCTTGACAGACTTTTTCCTGTTTATAGCATGTGCCAAACGATATCTACAAAGAAATGTATTATTTTTTTGTTATAATCTTTGTGTATGATACATGTTTAGTATTTTATGCCAACATCCGACATGAAAAGCATCGAAATGACAAAATTTAACTAATGCTCATTTTAGTAAATGCTTGCGGTTTACTTCGTCATCATTGCCTTTTTACGTTCTAAATTTTAAATCATCTCCCCTGCCTTATCCTACTCCCCTAGGGCCGGCGCACCGGGGTTTCGTCCTCCAAAGCATTCTATCATCCGTCATCTCAGTCATAACTCCCTTCTTGATCATCCTTCTAAATCTTAAATGTCTAAAGATATGATTGCATTATATTTTATGTATATTCTTCTTTAGTCGTCGAAAAGTCGTTTACGGTGAGTTATGAAGTTCAGCTACCTACAGCCCGCATAAGGTTTTGTAAAGTTGATAACTTCCAATCAGTTTCCAGTAAATTCATCTCAGCACCGCCTTGTATCAAAGTAACTTATCTCTTCAAACTTGTTCCCGACCCTTCAAAGAGCTCCGAAGTCCTTTTCATTTATTACAGTAGAAAAACATTTGCGTCGTTCCTTATCTAAAGCCTTCTTATACGGTAGATAGCGTAATTTCAAGAGAAAGGGTTGTCTTTCCGACAGTTTGTTTTTATGTTGGGCGCTGCGAAATGTGTGATTTTATTTATAAATATACATTTAACTTTATTCATTCTCTTTGTCTTTATTTAATTTCAGTCTTGTACTTCTTTTGTTTTTATTACTACAATTTCATGAAGTGATTGCAACAGTGATACCCAAATTCAGTGTTATAATCCTACTTCCTACTAATATTACAAAGGCGAAAGTTTAGATGGATGTTTGTTAGAGTTTGTAGTCTAAACGGTTGAACGGATTTCGATGAAATTTGGTATAGATGCAGAGGATAGACTGGAAGAACAACATAGGCTTTTGTTTATTTTTAATTCCACGCGGACGAAGCCGCGGGCGAAAGCTATTTGCCCGATAAAAGAGAGAGAAACTTTGAACTCTCGTGATTTTTACTAATATGATATTGTAAGAATCGAATAAGTCGTAAATAGACTAATCATAGTAAGAATAACTTACAAACATTACGTATATTAAAATAGAGATTGCTTGGAGATTTTCTTGCTTAATGGAATTGTGATCGATCGCGTTAATTACATCCAGAGATTTAGGAAGTAACGCCGACGGACTATATCAGACGATACATTTGGTAACTTGCCAAAATATTCTGAAGTTTCCATAACTCACTCAACACTACTTCGTCTGCTCTTCACTAATTAACTTTTCACCAAAGTATGAAAAGTTAGATAATTTTAAAACGAAACATATGAATCATTAAAATATTGTTTGCCAATGTATAAATATTTAACACAAGCCTGAAATATGCCAACAAGAGAACGAAGTAAAAATTTCTCACGATTATGTGAAAAAAGCCGTATTTAATATAATTTATGTTTCAAGAATTATTTCTAAAAGTATAATCTTCAGAATGTTAATCATCGTAAGATTTGTTAAGCTACAAAACGTCATTAATACGAGTATAAATAGCCCCCTAATTTGCGGAAATTTCATCTGTAATATTCATGCGTAATCAAAATAAAATTTGTTAAAAACATATTGATAAAATCACTGTGTTGATTTATTATTGCCATTGAAATAAATTGAACGATCTGACAGATAATTTAATTTATAACGTTTTCAATCATGTGATTAATAAACTTCGTTGATTTCATACTACTGTGATGACGTTAAAACAGCATCTGGTAGAGAGTTATAAATTGATCAACAGAGTATATAATTTAATAAATTAAAAACGATTGAGATGACTTATATAAAACGTTTCTGTAGAAATAAAGTCAAGTCACATTCTCAATTATTTTTTATCGACCCATAATATTGAAATAAAAAGTCAATTAGTTAGCTTTTAAACTAATCGATTAGTTCTATGTTCAAAACTAAAAATAACACCAAACTTTGTTCTGTAACTAATTTCACTTTAACTAAATCTAACAACTAACTAAAATTTATATCCAGTAAGACGTTTTGTCGTTAAAATACGACCGTATTTCTTTCAATCTCTTCTAACATAACAGATCGTTCTCACATCTCATGAGTACCGCAGTCACGTAGAAAAATAACTCACGAAGTCAAGACGCCGTGGAAAGAAACATCGACAATGTTCAGCACTCGACTGAACTACACAATATCCTACAAGTACTCTATTTCAATTTCTTATATTAAGTTTAACTGATAACAGAGGTCAATGACCTTAAGTTTTACATGAAGGTAACACAAGCAGTTGAACAACTATTGTTTACACGAATGCAAATACTTGGCAGAATTGAACAGTCTGTACTGTCTACTCTGCTTTATTTTACGCCCTCGTGTGAAAATAGCATTAAAGATACAATGAATATAATATCGCGACTTGCTCCTTGATATTTGCTCATATTATCGCGGGTAAAGGTGGCAATGAAGAGAGATTATCCATTTATATGTGAATACTTACGAGCACTGCTGAGTTACATACAAATGCATGATATATTATACAAAACTAAATAATTACATAATTATAACACAATATTGTTTATTGAATTAAAAATATATAGAAAGTGTAGCATTCGAAAGCTACATACAAACTACTTATCTGATCCTCGTATTTTACTTTAATCCAAACATATTAAGTAAATACGTCAAAATCGGCCAAGACATAATCCGTCTCTGGAAGTAGGTTTAAATATTTGTCGCAAAGAACTTGAGATGTACAAATCCGCTTAAGCCTTATGCGACTCGGAGTATCTACGAAGTCTGAGATATTTTCTGTTAAAACAAATGTATACGTTCTTTGTAAGTTATTAAAAATGTTTTATATTAAAACAATTTGTTGAAATACTGACTATATTTAAATAAAATGCTGCCTAGAATAAACTGTCAGTAAATAGACATGGACTTAGATTTATTTGTACCTATATATGAATTTAAACAATACCTTTCTCTTTTTAATCTGTTCCAAAAAAACTATAAAATGTAGGGGAATCAATTAGTTTTTGTTATATAAAACCACATTATGCAGAAGTCTGATTATCAACACATTTCGTTTTAAAACCTTATAACTCGTATTTACAGCAAGTAAAGAATTTAAATTTAATTACTTCGCTTCATTAGAAATATTATTTTCAATTTAATTCATCTAAAACTATCGATTTAAAAAACATAAAGTCGAATACATCGATAAGTAGACTTTAAAACTGGCATCAAATAAAAACATTCCCGCGATAACTGAAATATAGTTTGCATAAGATAAAAGTTGTGCGAGTGTCAGGGCCGAGGCACGTGACCTGAGCCCGCAAATAGCCTGCCGTTGTAGTGTTCCGCACCGCCTACACAACGTGACCGGAAACATTCCTCTTCGAAAAATATTGAACAATTAAAATTATTGTACAATAACTCACGCTATCTTCCAAGGCCTCCGTTTCACCTGTGGTAGACAAAAACATCAATCTTGCTAACTGCAATTCTTATTTAAAAAATAATTATAAAATAGTTTAACGCTAAATGTTTTTAACATTTGAATAAATATTTACCGTCACATAAATACTTGTATTTCATAATAGCTGTTGCTCGTGACTTCGGCCGAGTGAAATTAAAAAAACAATAAAAAATATACCATATGGTACTCATAGATAACTTAACTTTTTATTGGCGTAAGATTTTTTGAAATTGGCCGAGTTTTTGTGTTACTACAATGCATACAAAAATACAAATCTTTTCTCTTTATAACATTACTCTTTATTAAAGAAACATCAAATTTCAAACGACCTAGATCAGTTAAAATTATAACATTAGTTTTTTGTCCGGAAGCGTACGTGGATATCTCTGTGGACAATATTCACCCACTCAGAGCAGCCGCTCGCAGAAGGTCAGCTAATTTTGTACGTGAAACGATATTAGTGGAAGTTTCATGGGCACTGTGAGGTCGGGAGCGATGACCGTCTATCAAAATATACGCGGACGAAAAAAATTCATTCAAAAATAGAAATGTTAATCGAAATAGAAAGAAACAGATGTTTAGATGATGGATTTAGATTTAAGTGAATACAGGAGTATATGTAATTTAGTTTATAAATCGACTAGCTGTTGCTCGCGACTTCGTCTGCGTAAAATTAAATAAAATCGTAATATAACTAAGGCTAAGGTACTGATAACGTAGCTTTTTAATGGTGAAAGAATTTTAAAAATTGGTCCAGTAGTTTTTGAGTTATTTCAACACATACAAAAATACAAATCTTTATAATATTAGTATATGTACATGTAAATTAAATTATAAAGGGATAAATTATTATTTATAACTTTGTAAACCCTAGCGATAGCTAACACCGTTGTTTACGGAAGCAATATGATTTGCCGCTGCGGAAACCTCTCATTTAAACAATTGTTACGCTTAGGTAACCATCTACTGTCATGCATTATAATCCTAGAGGCCGTAACGTTGTAATTTTACGCATTACCTGTGTTATTATCTTATTACTAGAATATACGGTTAACATATCATTTCTAAGTTTTCCATTCAAACTGAAAAAATACAATTAAAAATAAAATTGGATTTTTTAAAATTATTTTTATAATGTACGACTTATGTAGTGTCGATTAGTTTCTAATGTTAAATTTTCCTTGTCCACAGTGATACCAAAATGCATATTGAAGTACAAGTGGCGCTCAACTTCGTAATATCGTATCTATACAACAAACTGCCGCGGCGACGCGTAAATATCTTCGGGGAAGAACTGGAGAAGGCGCTGAAGGATAAGTTCCGCGGCCACTGGTACCCGGATAGACCGTGCCGTGGTTCCGCGTACCGCTGTCTTAAGACTGGAGGGCCTCTAGACCCTGTTCTCGAGCGGGCAGCACGCGAATCCGGGGTTCCTGTACGCGATGTTCTTGAACATCTACCACGAGAACTTGCCGTTTGGGTTGATCCAGGTTGGTTTTTTATATCTCCTCTTTTCAATACGATTAAGGCTTTCTTGTCTTCTAAAAGCAAATGTTGTTTACTATGTTCATTGACGTAAATTTATTAAAGCATTTATGGAAGAAATGTCTATAAAATCGTCTAGATCAAAGTCTGAATTGCGTTAAATTTTTCAATCAATAGTTCAACAGTTTAGTTCGTGATTGAAAAACTAAAGTTTTTTTTACTTCATCGAGGTGGCAAACGTGCATGCGGGCTGATGATAGCTTAACAAAAGTTTTAACAGACAGTAAAAAAGCAATTCAGTCCGTGACCAATGCAGTTACATAATACCATGTACAAATAAACCAAGTCCACTAGTTAACCTGGGTTTCCACTGGGGTAACACATGTACAAAATGTATTGTTATCTATGTTACTATGTGTGAAAAAAACAGAGATAGCAATGTGGTCTTGCACAAGTATCTTACCAGTGGAAACTTACTATATTATTGTTCTCGGCATTGCATAAGGCGTTAAGTAGCCGAGGTCAGATGGATAAACGTCAACCTGACAAATACTTCTTATTTTTCTGCGTATGCATGTAATGCAAGTTCTTATTCTAGACAAGATTTCTCTAGATAGTTCAACTTCACGTATTGTTTTCTATTTAACTCCCTTTTCTTTATGGTATAAATTCTACTGTATACACGAAATTGCATCAATATTGAACATAAATATTCGGTAGATATAAATATCTGATTGGCTTTAATTTATTAGTTTGATACACAGTAATTAAATATCATGTCATTATTTTCAGGTGAAGTTTCCTATCGCATCGGTGAAAAAGGTGCGGTGAAAGTTCTTTTCAGCAGTGATGAAAGAGCGGCCGACGAAAGGACCGATAGAGAGGTGAATTATGTTTTAACTTTGATCAAAAAACCAAAAACAAAACAAAACGACATCAAGTAGTACATTAAAACACAACACAAAATTGCAATGAATGATTTAAACTATAAAATACGCATGGCAACAATTTTTAATTTTAAAGCCAAATCAAGCGTTGCGATTAAAGTGCACCGCGTGAAGCCTGTGACAATCGGCCAATCAATACGAACCGCAAACGTGATCGCCTGGTTAACTGCCGACGTTGTAATCAGATTTATGACAGTGTACAGAATCGATTTTCCGGACATAACTCGTGTATTGATGGCCATTGTCTCGAAAAATACGAGATTTATTGTTTGAAACATTCATTACACACAGCACGAGCTCTTTTATGACTCAGATAAAGAATACGAGCCGCAAACCTATGTTCCTTAATGGTTTAAATTTGTACCCATGTTTTCCATTAGAGTTTAGGTTAGTTAAAAACGTTTTGTAAATTTAAGACAATTTAGGAAAACTGCTTAATATTTGGTAACAATAATTAGGTATTTAAGATCGAAAAAGAATGTTAATTTCTTTTTGTTTATTAGGTAACTCGCGCATTCAACCCCGAGGCGCAATGCTTCCGGCCGGTGGAGCCCGCAGCGCCGTCGCCGCCAGCGCCTGCCGCCTTCTCGCCCGCGCCGCCATTCCGCGCGCAGCCGCTCACCTTCACCACGGCCACCTTCGCGCAGACCAAGTTCGGCAGCACCAAGCTGAAGACGAGCAGCAAGCGCGCCAACCGCATGTCGCCCACCGAGTTCAGCAACTACATAAAGCAGCGCGCCGTGCAGCAGCAGCTAGCGGCGCGCGCGCTCTCGCCGGCCGCCGACGCGGGCGCGTACTTCGCGCGGCGGGAGGCGCCGGCGCACCTGTTGCTGGCCAACTGAGCCCGCCGCTAGCCCCGTTGCGACCCCCGCGAACCGCAACACCCTCGCCGCTCCGCGCGCCCATAGAGTCTTTACTTTTGTACGAGAGAGGCGCGCGCCGCGATTTATTTTTTTATTTTCCGCGGGGCCGCCCGCCGCTTGTGATAACCGTACGATTTTCCATAACTTTTTGTATTCTCGTTGGTTACGTCGATGTGTAAAATTTATCGATAGGAGCAATAATCGGCCGCGCGATCGCCGGCGATTTATTTTCGTAATATTTAAAACGTAAGCCGAGTCGAGTTTTTTGACGTCTTCGTTGGACATCGATATTAGTAGGGTGTGAGAGCGAGGCGGAGTGGCCGCGCGCGCTCACCGCGACGCACCTTCAGAAGCGAGCCTCTATACATACGTCCTCCGATCTAAGAAAATACTGATATTTAATATGTATACTTACATGTATGTATATATCTACTCTTACGCGAAACGTCTAATTTTTCACGTGGAAACGAAATGCCAATAGAGAAATTACGTATTTTTAATATTGAAATTGATACTTGTAGCATAATATAGTGTATGTATGATGTGTATGGCATGGCATGCGTCGCAGTGGACAGGGCAGGGCAGGCGCAGTCGGCGTACCGCTCGGACACATATCCGCCGGCCGCTTGGCGCCGGCGCGCTCGGAGATCTCACCTAGTTCTAATCATCAATCTTACGATCGTAACCTTGTAATAATTATAATATACATAAATATAGGTCTCGTAATATAGCTACGTTTCAATCTAACAGTATTTTTTTAAGAAGATATTAGTCCTCGTGTACATCGCCGGCCCCCGCCCGGCGGCCGGCCTTAGTCCGTACGGTATACTTATTGTAATATTCTTATAAAAGACATGATAAATGATAGAAAAAAAATATTTCTCAATTCATATAACGGGTGCATGCGAATTCGTCGAAAAAGAAGTACTATGTGTTATTTATCTTTTTTATATTTCACTCGGCACTTGGGCTCAGTGTTTCAATCGAGGCACGTGGCGATATGGTCGGTGTGCGCAGTTGCGGGCTGACGCAGGCCGGCCGCGGCCGCGCTCGCGCCGCGCTGCGCTGGCCGTGTACATATTCTGAAGCAATAGCAGCCACGCGGCGCCGCAGCCCGGCCGCGGCAGGCTCTCCTACGGGCACACTAAGTTCCGATGCGCAACAATGACAAGGTGTATAGGGAATTTGCATCTATTTTTTTACTATTTTTATATTTTGATGATTTAGATTTAAGTCTAGTTGTATGATTTTAATACTTTATGGATACCCTATTCTTATTAAAAGGATGAGTAATTGTGCAGCGGGCTCGATTGAAAACCTGACCAAAACGCTACAGTATTTTGTAGATAAAATCTATAATGTAAGTGTAAGATGAATAAAGTTTAGCGTAATGAGATTTTTTATTACTAAATATAACTTTTTATTTTCTTTCTTTTGTAAGATATATTCGATGGAAGTGTTAAAGATAATATAATATTTGCATAATATAGTGAATGCGGTACTCCATGCCCGCGAATATAAATTAGTCAATAATAATTTTTCATATTGTTGTACGACTTTTTAAGTTTATATTAAAATGTTTTGTGCAATCTACTGCGTGTTTTAATTTGATAATATCCTTATTACACAAAACCTGCACGTAAATTCCTAAACTGATGCACCATTAAGCCTATTGGTGCCTATGTACGTAAGTAAATGTATTCAGAGGGCTTATTACGAATTTTCGTGAAAATGTTTTCGTAACATCATCGAAATTTGTATTAAAATTGTTCATCGCCACTCCCAGGTGTGGTATACCAATTAATATACGATTTTTGTGACAAAAATATTTCTGATAGCTTTCGCCCGCGACTTGCGTGGTATTAAAAAAAACAAAACCAAGTAGCCTGTGTGTTCATCCAGACTATCCTCTACATGTATGCCAAATTTAATTGAGATCCGTTCAGCAGTTTAAGCTACAAACTCTAACAAACATCCATCCATTTAAACTTTCACATTTATATCAGTATGACGTATGATAGACTCATTTAAGAATGTAAAAAAAAAAGTTGAAATCAAGCTGCAGCTAGCAAATCTATTTTAGTGAGTGTTTTTTAAGCTTTATTAGGAGCAGGAGAAAAAGTGAATAAAATCACATTATATCTAGGAACAATAAAAGACTAACATTAATTAAGTCACTTTATTTACCAAACCACAATGTTGACAAAATTAAACCTCATCTATGGACATCAATATTTATATTGAAAATCCACTATAAATGAATTTCCAATTAAAATATCATTTGCCATCTGCATTTCCTTTCTTTCAAGACACTTATAATTTAATTTGTATAATAGTTCTCATAACATTAAAAGAAACTTAATTTTTACATTGATAAACGAAAGCATATCACAATAATTTTTTAAATCGTGTTTCTTATCAGTCATAGGATCCTTTGGGCGACTTCCCAATGAAGTTAATTCTGAGCAGATTTCTTTACAAAAAATCGCCAGACACTTTAATGTTAATCGAATGCGATTCACGATTTAAAATAATAATTATTTCATTATCTAATTATATTGGATGATAATACATTTCAATGACATGATAAAATTTTGTTTAGACAAAACCTGTCAAAAGATACTTTGATTTTATAATTTAATTTTAATATCATAAAATATTCTTGATGTCTTCGAATAGTAAAATCGCACAATTTATTGTATTATTTTCAATATGAATAAGATAAGCTAAACATTGATATTTAGTTACACATAGATTATTGAACATATGGAAGTAAATTTATAAACTTTTTTATTCTGATTATCTTTGTATCATTTTTTACATACGAAAATTTACAGTTTCTTAATTTAAAACTATACGTATAACCTTAATTAACCTACATTTGATATTAATCAAGCAAATTTTTGGCACTATCAAATATTACCATAAAACTAGAGTTAAGTTGGCTGTGCAAAAGTATAAAATTATAGTAGTTTTTTTTTAATTTCTCAGGAAATTTCAATTCAAATTTTAATTAATTATATTCTAAAATGTACAATTCATAACTCATAGGCCATAGAATACAATAACTAGCATAGATGAGGGGATATGCCATGAGTGGTTAGTTTTATTTGTATAAAATATACATTTTGAAATCACTATGAAATAATCAGTACATTGTAACGAAACTTAAATGACCATTTTTAGTCAAAAATTATGAATATCTTAACGAATGATCGTCATGATAACTATTTACAAAAAAACGTATTTCTAATTCTAATCTTAAAATCTTCAAAAAAAAATTAAATAAATCGACACCGATCGCATTAACTTTACCCAAACAGTTAAACGACACTTATACACAAGTAATATAAAAATAAACCGCTAATTTATGACTGGGTTTGACTACTTTATAATTTTGGCCCGTTGTTCCAATAATATTAGTAACACATGCATGTAGATACATACAATATTTTCTCCCAAACAAATATAAGATAAATATCATGATAAGTACGTTCAAGACTCATCCAATGCGAGTAATCACTACAATATAACGTTCGCTACAGTCCCCAAAAATCATAATAGACTGAGTGCAATAATAAATAAACACAAATGAGCAAAGACCTTAAATAATAAATGAAGAAACTTCCTATCAATTAAAGAAATAAAACCAAATAACATTCAAGGAATGACAATGCCATGATACTAAAAATACTTTTACAGTTACACTGTTGTAGTATCGAAGATCAAAGATCGCGTAGTCTATAAATATTTACAACTACGTAAAGTTCTATGTTATTGTTGTCTCATTGTAACGACCGCTCTATAGGAATTAAAGCTAATTCACCGTAGGAGCGGCGGCGAAGGGCAAGGCGCGTGCCCGGCTGAAGATCAGTGCGCCATCTCGATGTGTCGCTGCAAACTCTTCTTGTTCATGTAAAACCTGTCACACATCGCACATGGGAAAAACACCTTCTCATTGTCCGAGTGACGCGCGCGCGTGTGCGATGACAGGTCGATGGCGCGTGCGAAGTACACCTTACAGATGTTGCAGTAGAACTTGGTAGGCGTGGCGTGCATAGTGCGGTGGGCGATGAGGTCGCGCGGCGTCGCCACACCGTCCCCGCACTGCCCGCACGTGAACTCGCCCGGGGGCGGCGCGCTGTTACCCTCCTCTTCCGATTCGCCGGAATCATCACCATGGTGCATGGCTCGGTGGGCTCTTAGAGCGTTCTCATTATCGTATTGCGCCCCGCAAATGTCGCACGCGAGGCCGTCATCTTCGTTCTGGTCGACGCCGGTGGAGCTGCCCTCGCCGCCACCGTAATGTTTCTTCATGTGAACGATCAACGTCGACTTGCGCGTGAAACTCTTCTCGCAGACGGGACAGAACACGGAGTTGGGCTGATGCACCTCGTCCATGTGCCGCTGGTACGCCGCTCGCTTGGTGAACTCCTTGTCACATATATTGCAGTATCTATCTTCGGTCCCGGTGGAGGAATTGTTCTGTTGTTCCAATTCCACCGAATCGTCGGAACGCAACTTCTTGTTGGGATTCACGACAGTGACCTCGACTTCCGGCGGCAGTCTCCTTTTAGCGACGCTAGCGGGCGTCGGCGTCGGCGTCGAGTGAGTGACGCGCGCGAGCTGCGAGGGGTCGACCACCTCGTGCTTACTGACTTTGCTGGTAACTTTATGCTGCGGCATCCAAAGCCCCGAATTGTTGGCAGCCGCTTTGCCGTCCGGGGAACGTAGATGCCAGCCGCGGTGACTTTTTAGCGCAGAAATAGAAGTATAACTCTTATGACATATTTCACAGTCAAAAGTCTGAGGAGATGATTGTGACTGGTGTATGCATTGGTGGTTCTGTAAAGCTAGCAAGCCGACGAATTGTTTGCCGCAGTTGTCGCACGGGTAGCGGGCTTGATATTCGGCACTGGGGTCGACCGAATCCTGGTCACCGTCATATTCCCCTTCCAATTCTTGAGTGGGCTCCTGTTTAGTGGGAACTTGACTTGCGTTATATCCGAGTAATTCCCTGGCATGGGCGGCCTTGAGATGCTCGTATAATTCTAACGTAGAATTCAATGGTTTTCCGCATATTTTGCACATTTGTGCCGAGGATTTGTGAACATTCTTTCTGTGGCGGTAGTATGATTTTTTGTCTGAAAAAGTAATTTTACATATAGTGCAACTCGATCTGCCGCCTTCTCCAGCCATTATTGGCGAATCTGAGCTTCCGCTGGCGCTGGCGTTGATGATTCCGTGCTTAGCGCGTTTGTGCTTCCATAAACTTGTTCTAAGTGGAAACCGTTTGAAGCACAATTCGCAAGAATAAGGTGTGGCGTCCTGGGGGGGCTGTGCCGCCTGTTGCTGCAAGTTGTTTGCTAAATTAGTAAAGTTAAAACTATTGAATTGCGGCGTCGAAAGAACAGCTCCGTTTTCGTCTAAATTGTATTCGTCCTCTTCGGTGGAGGCCTGCATGGTGTTCTCCTCGCTGTCGTTTCGTTCCGCGGCGTCTGCATGTAGCACTTTCTTGTGCTTCCAAATATTTTTCTTGTGCATGAAACCTTTTCCGCAGATGTCACAGGAGTAAGGCGCATTCGGGACGTTACAATTGGGTTTGAATGGAAGGAAAGTGGGTTGTACCATCGAGAAGGATCTAATCGGTTTACCGACAATTTGCGGAGCGAATCCTTTCGGTTCTCCGGGTTTTCTATTTGTGGTGGGCACTTTGGCGTGTATGCGCATGTGGTTCGAGTACGCCTGGCGGCTTTTGAACGACCGAATGCAGATGTCGCAGAAGAAGTCGTAGTCCACGGGCGCGTACGCCCCCGCGGCTCCGGGATGGTGTTGCTGAACGTGTTCAGAAAGTTTTTGGGGTGTGCTGTACGAATTGGAACAAATGTTGCAAGGATAAAATTTAACTCTCAAATGCGTATTTTTGTGCTCCGCCAGTTCCGACGGCCTTAAAAATTTCTTGTCACATTGGTCGCAATGGTGAGCGACTTGATTATGTTCGGCCACCTGATGATCCGTCCAAGCGTCGACAGTTTCGAATATGGCGTTACATTCTGTGCAAGAGTAGTGGTATTCCTCGGCTTCCTCCTTCACGAGAGACATGTCGGGCTCGTTGCTCTGCACGCCTAATGTTCTATCAGAATGCTCCATATAGATGTGTTTATTAAGATCAGCAGTTTGTTCAAATTTAGAATCGCAATGCTGGCAGTAATGAGGTTTCTCCTCGTTGTGAATAATCTTTAAATGTTTCACTAAATTTGGATAGGTGCTGTTCTTCTTCCCACAAACTGGACAATCGGTCGGACGTCCGTCGACACATTTGTTCTGATTATCAGATTGGTCGAAGTTCCCGGCGTGTACGGCTAATGCGTGGTCGTTGAAATGTTGCATATTGCCAAATCTTTCGGAACACAAATCGCATGAAATATAAACGGTACATTCTCCGTTGCGGATGTGCCTCTTCCACAACGCCTTATCTTTGAATCTCGAGTTGCAGTGGACGCAGACGAGCTGAACGCGAGACTGGCCATCTTCATGCACGTCCAGCACATGTTTCATTATAAACTGTTTCAATTGGAATTTAGCCGGACATAATTTACAAGCATAAGACCTAGTATTGAATATATCTTTATAGGCTACTTTGGTATCTTTAGGTTCGTCCTCCAAAACTAAATCTTCGGTGATGCCATTTTCATTGTAAATAATCTTCCATAGATCTGTGCAAGTATTGGAGCGCATGTGACTGAGCAGAGCTCCGATATGGCCAAAGGTAACAACGCAGTTGTAGCACGTGTGTTTGGGGACTTTGTGTCCATTTTTCTGCAAATGTTGTATGACAGCTTTGCGGCGGGGATGTTCTCTATCACAACAGAGGCATCTTTTTGTATTAATCTGTTCGATTATATCGCGATATTTTTGTATAAAATCTCGCTGAGTCTTTGTCACATATAGCTTATCGGGGTCGAGTTCCTTGACGTCCTCCACTGTGTCGTTAGGGTCAGCGGTTTCGTCGAGATCTTCATCGTTTCCTTCACTGTTGTACGAATTTGTCTGCATGTCTTCGTTGATTTCGACAACGGGTGCTATAGGTGGCAATTCCTCATCATCGTCATCTTGATTGTATTCCATTTGTTCATCGTCTCGTTCATCAATACCTTCTTCACCTTCTTTGGTTTCATGTCCATTCTCATAATCTTCGTCTCTGCCATCATTCTCGTTGTCGATTTGTAGCCCATCCTGGCTATCGGCATTGTCATCTGCGTGATCATTTTCATTGTCGCTTTGGTTTCTTTCCATGTTATTTTCATCTTCATTGTCCATTTCGTTACCTTCCTCCCTTTCGTTAATGACCAAATGATCACCCACACCGCCTTCACCATCGCCATCTCCATCACCATCCCCTTCACCTTCGCCATCCCCATCACCTTCGACGTTTTCTTTTTGACGAGCTATCTCAATCTCATTTTCGGAGTCCATGTCAACAGTATCGTAATTATGACCTTGATTATTTTGCATTTCACCATCGACATCATCATCATCTTGTGGCATATATGTATCCGGTTCCGAAAGGATAGTCTCTACTTGGAACGATGCTATTTCTGGTTCTGATATCAAAGTCTCCGGACTTTCTGGACCAGAATTAAGAATTTCCGGTTCGGATACCAAAACTTCAGGTTTCGTTGTCAACAGAGTCTTAAGGATTTGTGGTTCCTTTTTCTTTATCTGTAAATCTTTTAATGCCTTAATACGAAGCGGGTATGGCAAATTATTTTGGGTTCCCTTTGGTGTTTTAATTGGTATAGGTTTGGATGGGGTGGCAGGCTTATTCTGTATGATTTTTGCGTTAATCCCTTTAGGGATCAACTGCATTTTATGACTAATAGGATTAGGCATGAGCCTCGCTTTGGGATTGAACGGATTGGGTCTAAGTTTCGGCTGCCTGTGTGTATTGTGAGATTTCTTGTTGGTTACTTTGTTAGTGTATCTGTCAAAACTGTGAGCGTTAAGTTCATGTCGCCTGGCGTTATGTGAATATCTGTAAAATCGTCCGCACACGAGGCACTCTTTGGACGCGAGTTGTTGTATCCCTTGGCGAGCATGCAGCGTCTCTCCTGTGGGGCGCATTACGGTGATGGACACCTCGGGCATGGCGGGCACGCCCGGATATTGTTGAGTAGACTCATTCATCTCTTCATTCATTTCTTCATCTTCTTCATTATTTTCGCTCTCCATACCCTAGAATAACGTAATTTTAAAAATTACTTTATAACCAATATTTTAAACTATTGTTTTTAATCAAATAAAATTTGAATCTATTTATCCTACTCGCGGAAAAATTAACTAGGAACTTTCCATATAGTTAAAATATTTGGTAATATCTAGTATCTACTGCCGGGTAAAACTCTCTTGACATGATGATTCATATCTCAAGATGTCCTATACATATTCATTCAAATGATAGAGAGAAAATCGACCATGATGAAAATTTATCATCCATAGGAAAACATAACAAAATGAAAATAATTTCTCTATATCCTAAATTTTATTGGAATTAAAAATTATGGTTTAACAATTGGCACCATAATATCAATTTTAATAATTTTATTCCTAAAAACGTTAGGTACTCAAAGGTTTTTCTTATTTAAATATTCATTAGATAGAAGCAACAAGTAAATTATACTTAATTAAAACATGATTTTGTGTGGGGTAGAATAAAAAAATTACAAATACAGCACTTTCAATATAAAAAAAAAAAAAAACAAATCTTTTAAATCTTATATTCCACATTTTGCCATTTTTCGAATATTTACTTAATAATACTATTAAACTATATAGCTACTGCACATTTAAAAATTGAAATGTCTTTGTATTGCACCAATAATAAATTATTGCACAAAATCTTGTGGGAAACCAAAACATAAAATGTCATTTAATATAATACAAATTTTTTAACTTATATAAATCTTTTAGAGATTTAATAATATAAATATTAAATAATAACCAAATCACTATAACAACTAATAAGATATTTTCTATGTATCACAAAGTGAACAAATAAGTACACTATGTTCTTTACAAACGGAGTATCCACATTTATTACAACGTTGTCGAGTTCTTCGGTCTTTTTTTGTCACGTCGCAACAAATTTTACACCTTATCCTGGTTTTTGGTGTTGCAAATTGTTCCATTGTAATAAATCTTTTGGATTTTAATTGCCTTTCTAGCGGAACTGTTAAACATTTAGTTTCCAAAAGACTGATAGCCAATTCCTTGATAAACAAACGTCTGTTAACCATTTTATCGGAGTTCTCAGACGCCCATATTACTTGTGCGTTCACAGCTGCTATATTCAACAAGGTAAAAAATAATGAATATGCCCAGTTGTTAGAGTTTTGCATTGTTGTATAATAATGCATAAGGACATCCAAAACTTCGACGACAGACTGGTTTTTTTTATAAGTTGATACAACTGAATCACCTTTACTCTTGTTTCTTTCATAAAATCTTGACACATTACTCAAAATGTTTACAGATCTATGTTTAGTATTAACATATGATGTCAAGGAAATATTTTCATCAACATAACCAGTGATGAAATCTTCGCTTTTCCGGTGATTTCCAAGAAAATATGGTGGTATCATAACATTGGATGGATCAACTGCCAAAATAGAATATAAATTATAATCCTTTTGTAAAGTTTCCATTAAGGTTAATGAGGTGAACCAAGAATCCAATATAATAGTTCGGCCAGAACCTGCCAAATGTTGCACAAGTTTCTTTACAATTTCTTCCGCACTTAAATATGGGTCAATGATAACATCAAAATTGCTGATGTAAAAATTTGTCGGATCAACCATTAGCATCATTTTGATACCACATTTTAAAGGTTTCTTATTTATATTGTATCTAAAAGGACATGGGCCAAATATAGGAACAATTATTTCATCGATAACCACCATATCATTGACATTGAAGGCTTCTCTACAATTCAATGCAAACATCTCGAAAACTGTTCGAATAGGTCTCATACTGTCATGTTGGTTTGCATCTGTAATACCTTCATCGAAGCTCAAATTCTCAAGAAGAAATTTAAATCGTTCAAACTTCATTGCATTTTGAACACACACAATGCCACAATCATTAAGCCAGAGGTCACTGTATTTTTCATTTGTAGGGCGCAGTATCCCATGCAAGTATAAAATACCAATAAACGTTTTTATTTCACTCATGTTTGTGGATGATGCATAATGTTCCTTATGTTTTCCAATCTTTTGATTCGTAGCTGTAACTATATGTTCCAATATTTCATTTGTGAATAACATTTGCCAGGCATTTTTCGGCAGTGAATAACTCTTTACAACTTTTCTTTTTCTTTTTACAGTTTTCTTCCGTTTATCATTATTTGTTTTAGATGATAAAGGAGTTTTTGATATAATTCTTTCGTTTTTACACAAGTAACCATCTTCACAATCAAGGTATTCCGCATTAGTGTTACAATTTAATTCAGTTTCCGAGTCAGAATCATGATCAGAGTGATGTAACTCATCACATTCTTCGGCAGACTGCAGAGAGTCTATGACATCATCTTTTTGAACCAGATCCAATATCGCATGTACCCTTTGCCAGTCCATCCGAGGATCTACATTATTCTGTGAATAAAATTAATTCAATTAAGGTATTCCCACATCCATTTTGTTTTCCGATTTTCGTAGAAGAATTATAAAAAGTACAAAGATTATATAAAGTACAAAGAGTATCAAAAATAAACAAAGACATATCAATTTCATACAATGGCAATACTCGGTGTTTTGATAAGACATGAATACTTTTAATCTTTACCTTATCACTCCTCGGTGTGAGACCCAGTGAAGCCAAGATAGGAGGGCCTTCTGGTTGTACTTTACTTGATGTTGATGCACACTGGAATGGATAAAGATAATATTGGTCATTACACTATCATGACTAATGTAAAAAACATTTTTATCAAATGAAACATCTTATGTGTTTTAAAAACCAGAAATTTTAAATCACCAACAACTATAATATCAAGAAATAATAACAAAACTATTAAATACAAATTACATTGACAACACTGCAAATTTAATGACCTTGACACTAATAGGTAAACTGCCAGCATTAAATATCATATATAAATTGATTATTTCTGATTGGTAATTAATGTTTTCCCTAGGCATCATAAAAAAATATTTAATTTTCTTACAATTAATGGCCTATAAAACAAATGACATAGCATACCTCAAGGTCAGGGTATGATCCTTCAATAACCACTCCATCATCATAAGCCTCATCAGATAAAGGTTCACTTTTAATTTGCACCTGAGAAAACATAATTAATTTGTGTAAACAACAATGAAGTTGACAGTTGAAAAAGTAATGGCAATGGAAAATCAAAGAGATAAACCAACCTCTTCTAGTTGGCTGCCATCATTTTTAATGAGTGTCTGTAGTTTGTTTTGTGACCTTTCACATACATCCTTAAAAATGTGCCAGTTATTGACATTGTCACAGCATTTTCTGCACACATTAGTTGGCAGGTCGTCATCTTCGTTTATCTGAAAAATAATCATACGCAATCAATGTATGAAGGTCGACGGACGCATTTCATCAGAACGGGCGAGTCGAACCGCGCCTCGTGTGTAGATACGACGCGAGGAGAAACTAAGTAGGCGTAGGTATAGCGCGCGGCGGACGGCTGCTCCTCGACCGAATAAGTAGAAGCGAGTCGAGTGGCGACCAGCGAGCCCCTCGAGGGTTGCCGCGATGTAGGCACGCACGCACACATGCACGTCGACAGCGATCTCACGCAGACACCGACCGCCGCTCGATACGTTCGAGGGACAAGCTGCATCGGCCTGGTCTCGTCCGGTAAATCAATACATCCAACGTCATGCCTCTCTGGCGGCACGCAGACCCCCTCCCGGCCAGACCCCCGGGAATAATGTCAAACCCGACCCTCATAATGCGCGCCATTCCTCGCCGGCTGAACGGAATGCGACGCGACGCGGCCACGACCCGAGCGATAGCCGTGGAACATTACAAAATGGTGGACGATCTTACGACATCTCCACCTCGACACAGCGTTGCTCGAACAGGGACGGATGACGAGTTCTCACGTACACCAAGGGTCTACTTTCACTCAAAACATGATTCCAATGTGTATTTTAAAATTTACTTACCTCTACAGAGACGCATTCCTTGATTTTTGAGGCAAGGCCAGGAGGTTCCGAGTCATCCGAACTGGTGGTAGGAAATATCGGCAGTAATTCGCCTCGAGATGACAAGCACAGTCTACAAACACGATCATAATTCACACGCATTGTAAATAAACAATTTTTTTATGTCTAAACTTCTACAGCGCTTAATAAAGGGACGCCATGTCACCACGAACACTTCAACACAATACACTGCACATCGTTCTAGCTTGAGTATGAAAGCGGCTGATGATGAGCATGAGAAGTCGATGTTCGGTCGGAATAGCTGGGTCGAGTCGCCGACCACCTGTCGTTCTGCGCATGTGCGCGTAAAATGGTGGCAAGAGTGCCAACATAACGAAACAAACTGGCACTTAAAAGTCAGGTGTCATCAACTTTTTAAGTTACATTCGCTTTAGAGTTTACCTTTTGTTAATTTGGATGCCAACTTAAAATACATACAGTTATAATACATTGCCATGTATTAAAGTCTATCTTTTTTCTAATGAAATAAAAATGAACCTCGACTCTTTACAACACAATACATGGAATTTTAAATTAAGAAAAAATCCTTTTATTAAAACGAAATATGTCATTTAATACAGATACTACAGTTTAGGTCACGTTTCCCATTATTAGAACCCAATTGCAATATTCGTTAAACAAAAACAATCGCAAAGTAAATCATGTTAATATGATTTGAAAGCGTACAACAATATCCATAAGCGGTTCTGAACCCCTGGAGTATCTTTCTGTCTCTTTCTAAATTGTGTGACGATAGCGCTAAATTCAAACATGAGTGAACTTAGCAGCTGTTTCCAGAAAGCGGGAAATATGAAATTCAACGACTTATCGCGATTTAATATCTTAGAATCGCGAAGTTTTCAAAGAATTAAAAAGACTTTAATTATTTTTGTTATAATATAAATTCAATGTAACATCTCCACCATAGTTTTTATTAGTTTCAAAAACTTCAATTGAATTGATAGTATTATTCAGTGTTGCCAACTGTCAACTTTATTGGTGTTTTAAAGTTTTTGCTAAAACATCATTTTTTGCTAGGTATCTTCTAATCTTTGTATTTTTATTTACTGTTTTTACTTCTTCGAGTTGAAAATTACAAAGTGTAAATAAAAGACGTCGAAATTGTGTTTAATCGCTTTTTATTACAAGCAACATTTAATGCTACACATTTACAGTTATTACACAAATATTAACTCGCATATGTTAAGTATTTTCTATATATTTTTGTATAATTATCACTACATACAAAGAATTCTTAAGAGGAGTGTAATTTTGAGGCATAGGATGATATAGGATAAGATAACAATACCTTAGATTTATGATTACATTTAAAACAATATTTAAAGTCTATAATATTTTTTTTGTGTAACTATTTTTTGCAATCTACGTTTTTTTTTTATTTTACAGATAAAATGTTTTTGAATTCACATCGTGTTATTAGAAATAATTAAAATTGCTCCTTTTATGCTTTATTACGTACTTTGTGCTTATTAATGCTACATTTTTTTAAAACACTTTGGTATAAATAAAATTCTTATTATTTGTTTTAAAAACAAATACAAAATTTGCGATACGTAAACAATCTCCTAACATTGAAATACTTATGTTAATAAAAATAAAATGTGCAAAAATTGGCTATCAAGCATCGTACGATCAAATCCTTTGCATACACATAAAAATACATACGGCAAATTGTGCAGATAAATAGTGTTCTTGTAGAACATGGTTACATCCCAATAATCCTAGTTGAACATGAAATTTTTTTGTCAAGATCTTTAATTATATACACATGTGAAACAATAGATGCGAGTTTTATCCACTTCGAATCGCTGGCGTTATTCAAAAAGTGGCGGGAAAACGTGGTCAGTTTAAGAACATGGCGGGCACGAGGACCTTTGTTCTTGGGAGGGCTGCGCGCGCACCGCCAGGCGTGCTGGGTCGACGGGGTTCGCTTTCGCGACAAGAGCTCGCGCCACATGGCCGAATGCCGCTTCCACGTTTAGTCCGGTTTTAGCTGACGTCTCCATAAACGCGACTTGATACTCTCGCGCCAGACGCTGCCCCTCCTCGCGCCGCACTGCCCTCTCTAGGCCGCTGTCCGATTTATTTCCTGTAGCAAAATGAAACGATTACACACGATGTCTTTGGTCTGGAATATTCCAAACAAAGAACATAAACGTTATTGTTTGTCTTAGTCACTATAGGATTCTGCAAGTCAGTACTTTATAAGAGTTTGTCTTGGTATACTTGCTATAAAATAAATTATTTACTTTAATTAGATGTGGTCATTGACAAGCTGGATGCGGCTTTATATGACAGGATTAAATTTGCTCATAAAAACAGTAATCAGCGCATAGTTTCTGAAGTTAATGTTTAAACCTTTGATAATGCGTCCTCGCTAAGAATATGAAGAGAATCATAGATAGAAAAGTTTACCCAGAAGCATAATGACGACATCGTCTTGGGCATATTCTCGTATCTCGCCCAGCCACGCCCGGATGTTGTCGAAACTCGTCTTGTTGGTCACGTCGTAGAGAAGTAAAAGAGCTAAACACATAAATAATTATACATTAATTACAATACTAAATTTGGTAGTAACTAGTCTATACAGATATTACGAAGAAGAGATATTTGTATTTCTGTATGTATTGAAATAACTCAAAAACTACTAGGTCGATTAGAAAAATTCTTTCACCATTAGAAAGCTACGTTATCGCTAAGTAACATAGATTATATTTTTAAATTTCACAAGGAAGAGGCCGCGAGCAGCAGCCAGTATTTTTTAAAGTAGTTGTAATTGTTGGGAAACAATTTACAATTATAATTTTGTACTCTTACCAAAAATCATTTTGTATGGTATAGTCTGTATTTGGGCTAATATGTAAAACTGGAATCACTCTGGTATTGGGTTATTAGTGCTTTAGATTGATATTTTCACTAAATTATGGTAAAGCGTTGTTTTAACATTCATAACACGATCTATCCCACTCATCGACTCACACGCTTATAAACTGTCAATAGGATCAATTCGACCTAATTCATACATCGGTTACATAATAGAAATCAGATGCAAGTAATTAAGTTCAACTAAAAATTAAACATGCGTGGTTTTAGTATCAAACTTTTTAAATAGATCGGAACTATAACTTATTTATGTTTTATTAATAGCACTCAGAGTTCTGAATTGACTATTTAGGGTGACTCTTAGTGTAGATTCCATGTTCTATTAATGTAAAAATAACTTTAATTTTTAAAACACTAAATTATAGATATGTGGATAATAGTATGTGCTCAGCTCGCCACATGTAAGCTGTTTGTTATTCCTTGTATTCAGCACAAGCTGATTAAGATCATTATTTGTACATAAAAAATGTTTTGTATTAAAATTTTGTCCATACGAAAATGCAACGATGATTATGATATAATGTTTTGCTTGAATTTGGTATATAAATATGCTTATGAAGTAGGAATGTGCAAGTAATCAGCATTCGGAAATTAAATTTCAATGATCTTTCGTCGGAGTTTGTTCGTAACGTTAAAAGAGATCGCCCATAGATGGCGCTTTTACTAATTCATCACAAGGAGTTTAAGTGTAAATAAAAATAAGATAAATTCTAATCATTATAATCTTATAAGATATCGGAATTTTAAAAAAATAGTAATATTTACCATGTGCGTCTCGGTAGTACGCATGAGTTACGCTACGGAAGCGCTCTTGCCCCGCCGTGTCCCAAATCTGAAGCTTCACCTTAACGCCGTCCACCGTCACTACCTTGTTCTGCAACAGATGGCGCTGTGAGTATCAAAACTAGACTAAAACGAAACCAACATCTGTTTTTTCTTGTGTTCTAAAAAAGAAACAAAGTGTGAGAATAACAAATTAAACTCACAGTAAAATTAATATAACAGTTTTAAAAAATCAATAATATACATTTACTCAAGCATAATTCCAGTTTTCAGTCGTTACATATTAAAAAAAAATGCCGTTGTTAAAAGGTTATGAAAATAAAAAAAAACGTTCTGGTTAACGGCTAATAAAATGTATGGATTCTCGAACTCTAACAATCTAAACGGAGGGATCAACTTTTTACATTAAGTTATCCCGTCGGAATTAATAGCAGTCGGCGACAGATGCTATAAATCAGTCGACAAAAACTGGGAACAAAAAAATTCTACGTAACAATAAATCAGTCAGTGATGGAGTCAATTCACAGCTGCTAGGGGCGTGCTTAGCGCGCAAAGCAGACCAATGGCGGTGCGAGTACCAGGGCAACAGCACTCGTGAGTGGCCCGCGCCGACCGAACCCTTGGTTATTATTACTTAATTGCTTTTTTATTTTATAATGCGGCTTTCAACTAAAAAAAAACAGTCAGATATGTTTTTATTGACAGTTAATACTTTTTAAACCACGGAAAAGGTTTTATACGTATGCAGGAACGCGGTTTTAACACTGGATGGTATAATTTAGTTTTTATTTTGATCTAAAGGCTTATGAACAATAATATTTTAAGAGTTGTTTTTATAAATCGTTGTACTCTAAATATACTTTCCAAGCTCTTATTCACTTGATATATGTAGTAGTTATAAAAATAACATTAAGTAAATTTTTAGATTTGAATGCAGAATCCCAGTTTACTTCCAGTACCCGAAAGTCAATTCCGACAGTTGATATGTAGTTTCCAGCGAGGAATGTGCCGTCGCGGAATCGCACCAGCATGCAGGTCTTGCCAACACCGCTGTCTCCCAACAGCATCACCTGGAATACACAATGTCATATTTTTTTCAAATAAGCAAAAAGCAACTCTTTATGTACGGACTCAAAGTTAACAGTCGTATGAAATAGTTTGTAGGCTTTGGAGAAATGTTATAATGTTTCTGAACTGTACCAAATATATAGCCATCCCTTTCGATATCCCTAAAATGAAAAGAGATAACAATATGTAATGTTTCGGTATGTAGGTATGACTGTAATAACTAACCTTTCCGAAAACATCGAATTTGTCTTCTTGTTTATTCTGCTGGTCCCAGGTATCAGTTGGCGAGGGGGGCTCGCTGTGTGGCATCACGCCTACTTCTTGATCACTCTTATCATCTTCTTCTCTCGCATCTGGGAGGTTACGTGCCCATGTTGGCCGAACCCTCCCTATCACCACTCTCTTCTCCATCGGTCTGTTGTCTGTTGCGTTCGGGTTCCACATTATGAACTTGGTTAACACATCTCTTGTTCACACTGAGTTTAAAGTCCACTTTTTTATTCACCTATTAATCTGTATTAGTTAATTCATAATACTTTTGATTGAAGAATTAAATGGCCCATAGAAGACCTAGAAAGAATGTCTATGATTTTTTTTTTATATATATTTTTTATAATATAAGGTGGCAAACGAGCAAGCGGCCACCTGAATCCACCGAAATAGAAAGCGACCGCTGCCCATAAACATCCGCAATTGCAGATGCGTTGCCTACCCTTAATTGACAGAGAAGAAGACGCCCCTAAAGAAGACATTTCCCCTTTCCTATGCGTTTCCGCCGTCAAATCCACTTTTCCTTTCCATCCTTTCCTCTTAAGAAAGTGTGGAAAGGGAAAGGGAAAGGGACTAAATTAGGCCTCCGGCATCACACTCATCAGACGAAACGCGGAATTGCTTGAATTAATTATTAAAGATGTTTATTAGCAGATTGTACTAATAAACTTTAAAATATTAGTTCAATTTGTATTGCTTTAACAAAACAGTATCACATATCACGCAAGTATCAATTTTCTAAGAAAAATGATACTCGAATATTCCATAACTTTTAAAACGATTTCCATTTATATCTGTATAGCAAACCTCAACAACAAATCTTATTAAACAGCACGTAAAGGGATATTGAGGTTAATTTAAGGTTGAACGTATCGTTTGATGTAGTCATTAGTTACAAATGGAATTACTTAGCTCGTGATGCTTCAAACAGTTTTTAATCAAAAAGGTCGCGGCGTGTATCGACATTTACCAGGCATTAATTAAGTCTGTTACTTGTGTGGAGGAAATCTGAAACTTTGTACACAGATACATCAAATATTAACGAAGTCTTGGAAGATTACTTAATTGTCTTGTACGTAAAGTTTATTCTATAACATTTAATTTATAATCAGCGATATATATACTAATATTATAAAGATAGATTTGCATTTTTGTATGTATTGAAATACCGCGAAAGCTGGGCTGATTTGAAAAATTCTTTCAGTAAATAGGCCATATTTTTTTATTATTTTTTTAATTTTACGCGGATGAAGTCGCGAGCATTATATCATATCATACAAGTGTACTTAGTAAATGTTTATGTTATATCTACCTACAAGCTGTTCCCGTGCGGCTTCATCGGCATGAAATTATGAAAATTTTATTTTATTGTTTACATTTGTCAAATCATCAATAGCAAATGTCAAAATGTCATGACATGACAAACCTTAGCAATCTTGCTTTCTTGTTGGCAGCAACTTATGGTCTCTTTCCCACATTAGGGTTTTTACCCAAAATATTTACCCCCAAGTTTAATGGCGTGAAAATATATAGCCTAAAGCGTGACGTAGTGTAGGGATTTTTATTAGAAAGGAATTTTTCAAAAATATGCTGTAATTGCTGACATCTTAGGCAAAAAAGAAGTGTTATGTTTACGCTTTATTATAATAGTATAAAAGTATAGATAAAAGAAATTTTAACCGGCTTTTAAGAATTCAAAGCTTTTATAGATGCCTTTGATATACGCTGGAACGAAATTCGTTTGAAGTGTGGCGCAGATAATTAAGTTTCTTATAATAACATTACCGGAGGGTTTTAGCTATGACAGATACAATATTAAAAAAGTGACAAATTTTACGCGTTTGCCAAATTATTTGCGACTTATATTACAACAATTTTCATCTTACACTTCTAAATTAAAAGTGGATAAAAATATTACTGAAAAGGTAATGTTTTTGTATAATTACCAATATTTGTACAAAGTTAAACATCAAAGGTCTGTATAATTTGAGTTACATATTTTCGTATACAACAATAACAAAAGAATTGTTGATTCAGGATACGTTTCAACACTGGCGAGTTAGATTCCTAGATAGTAATTACAATTCCACTGTTATATTAAGCAAATGCTTTTACATTTTATAACAGTGGTAGAGTCCGCTTTAACATCTTTCCACTGTAGCTGACTCGCCCGTTGCAATACCACAACCACACAGAAGACAGGCGTGACTTGGAAGCAATTCCTCGTTTTGTCTGATGAGTGTGGTGCCAGAGGCTTTTTCCTTTTCCCTTTCCATTCATTCCATAAGAGGAAAAGGTGAGAAGGGAAAGTGGAATTGACGGTAGAGTAGACGCATAGGAAAGATCCTGGTAATGTGCGTGTATTCCTCCGTCAATTAAGGGTAGGCAACGCATCTGCAATTGCGGATGTCTATGGGTAGCGGCGGATTCAGATGACCGCTTGCTCGTTTGTCACCATATAATGTAAAAAAAAAAGTTCAGTTATCAAAGATATTACCGCACAGTATAGATACCATTATGCCTTATTCTTAGAAACGGTTGAAGTCAATTGACTGAGGCTGATGATCAATGATGATGAACGAAACATCTCAAAAAGCTTACGTTAATAAAAGTATTATAAAGAGGAAAGATTTGTATTTTTGTATATATTGAAATGACTAAAAACTACTTGGTAGATTTGAAAAATTCTTGCACCATTAAAAAGCTACATAACCACTGAGTAACATGAGCTGCTTTATTTTATATTTCACCAAGACGAAGACAACAGCTAGTGTATTAATAAAAGTAAAACGCGAACCAAAACTTTAAGTGAAGAAACTAAATCTTGATAGTCTTGAGATCGGATAGCTCTCAAAAACATTTGTTAGGAAACTTCTCTTGTATTAAATTTGTTACATCGGGTAAATAATTACATTCAATTACAAATTATACTTCAAATTTATATGAAAAACCATATTAGTTGTATATTATCCCAAGTTTTGATCTGAATTTAATCTTATTAAAAAAAATCGTTTAATCGTTACTTAAATAACTTACTCCATACTCTCAGATACGTTAATTAGTACCTGATTCCTTAGTTTCGTACTAAGTCAACTATCGCACATAGCATTATATGTTAACTAGCTTTCGCTCGAGACTACGACCGCGCGGGATTAAAAAAAAAAGTAAGTACCCCAGACTATCCATTCCAGACCATTCCATTCCATTCCAGAGGTGTAATATCTTTGATAACTGAACTTTTTTTTTTACATTATATGGTGACAAACGAGCAAGCGGTCATCTGAATCCGCCGCTACCCATAGACATCCGCAATTGCAGATGCGTTGCCTATCCTTAATTGACGGAGGAATACACGCACATTAACAGGATCTTTCCTACGTGTCTCCTCTACATTCATCGAGATCTATTCAGCCGGTAGGCTACAAACTCTAACAAACATCCATCTATCTAAACTTTCGCATTTACAAAAAATGTCAATTAATATTCGCCAAGGTACCTACATTATATGCTATACTAGTACTTTTAATGTAGTACTCATTTTCGTTTACTTATATTCGTAAAAACATTAAAAATAATAATTTCCAATTCAAATATGAAATCAAAGTTGTGAACAGACATTCGTCCGACACGTTTGATCGGCTCCCGTTTATTTAATGAGAAAACTTTTTCTATTTGAACTAGACGAATGGCGATTTCATACTCGATGCGAATTCACGGTCGATAATTATTACTTTTAAAACTTTTGATTTTGAT